GCTGGGAATTCCTCTTTAATTTCAATGCTATACTTGATCTCTGGGCTGCATGACTGACCACCTTATTATCTATAGCGACAGGAGCTTATCAATACAGAACTCGCTGGGTCCACAGACCAAAGACAAACACTTCCTTTATGCAGGATGTCCCCTCTGGGCATGAGACACACAGCGCAGGCCAACCAGCTAAATTCCACAACTAAAAGGGTAGGAGACCGAAAATCATTTCTGAACATTCAAATTAGTCCGAAGACATTTTTCTGAGGCAAAATGTATACATATCAGAACCAGAGTTGTACAGCACAGACCGCAGAGGGATATCTTTGTATTGCTTTAGCATTAGCCTGAACTATTTTAACCCTTTAACCACTGCTCCTGCAACAGGGGCGTCACAACATTGCCTGAGCCGAGAGGGGGCCCTGGAGAAAGGATGATTACTTAACAACATTTTTAACAAAACCCCCAATGATCCGCTATGTGCCGGAAACTGCAATGTCACCACAGATGGAAAAAACCCGAACGAGGCCCCATGCAACTAACTTTCCACAAAAACCTTTTGGTTGAGGACACAAATGTGTAAATGCTTCCAAAAAGTGAAGCCAAAGATTCTCAATTTCCACCTGGGGTCTGGCTGCATCTCAGGTCATTAATCTTGCCTCCTCCATGATAAAGTAATAAATAAAAGTCTAAAACGTCAAACTACATATTAATTAACTTTTTTCTCAAAGATGTTAGTACTGTGAAGCACTTTCATGGACTTTTCATTTCAAATTGGTGTGAATAACCATGTTTCATGTGGGAAAATGTATCAGCTTGCTCACACTGCTGCTCAACTTCAGAAGAGAAATGTACTCTTCCTGAGAAGAGTCTGAAATGCCTCCATGCAGCGTGCACCATCTTTTCTGTATCAGCGCTGACTGACCGTAGAAAACCTTACATACATCCGAACATACATTCTCATTGCTTTATAGTGATGTAAAATGTCTCTCGTTATGTATGACACATTAATGAGTGTAACTGCACACCAAATTTTGCATGCCATAAAATCTTTGCGGGTGATTTTTTTTTTTAATACTTTTTTCTTGTTTGCCAGGTTTGACAGGTTGAATGCGAGTCCCTGTGGTTCCTCTTTACTGCTGACACAACAAACTGACTTCTGGACAGTCCTGCTGCTTCAGAACGAGGCTGAGAGCAAACACATCCACTCGACTGTGAGGCACTTTGCCAGGTGCATTGTTTTAATGACGTTTCCTCTTGTTACCAAGTGAGTGATGGCTTAAGTCATGAAATAAGAAACACGTTTAATCACCTCTTCAGTGGAGTGAAATTTACCTTCAAGGTACAATATGCTCTCTAGTCATTAGAAACGTCATTTGTAAATGAATAACAGTAATTAAACAATGTTTGATTTAATACATTTCAATATATATGTTTGTCATGTGATTTATTTGCAGTGAACCATGAAAAATCCTTGTGTTATTCACTGTTAATGAAATAATAACATCACATGCTATTAGTCTAATATAATATTACATATGTTTCCTTGCAATTTAGTGGACTGATGGGACATGGGCCAAGGAAGAAGCTATTAAGTTTTGGTGAGATTTAAAATATAAAAAAATCCCAAATCCTCAGGTAACAATTCATGGATGTTGGTAAAAGAAATCAGAAATGTTTAGGGGGCCGTTATATGTAAGTGTGAGCAATTTGGTGCAGATAAAAAAAATCCATGAACCGTTCTAGTTTTTTTAAATTGTAATTTATTGGCACAATCTCTAAGAGTAAGTGGCTCACTGCTTCATGTTTAACTGCTTTTCATTGTGCTCACTCACATCAGTTTAACATTAGTTTGATGTGTTGTAACTTCACACTGACACCGTCAGAGCCTCTTAACAAACACCTGAAAACAAACAGGGAGCCGAGTGGGTGGTGGCAGCACACCTTCAGTTTCAGATGTGAGCCTCCCAACAATTGACACCCTCAGGCATCCTGTGCAGGTGTGACCTGAATTTGATAAAAAACTTAACTTCTAACCCAGTGCAAATAAAGCCAAAGCTGCCCAGGTGCAGCTTTTGTTTGTGTGTGACTTTTGGCAGCGAAGCAGCTTTCGCAACAGGGCCGAGGGAGTAAAAGCACAATGAAGGCAGGGCACTGAAAGCCTGGAAGTTCAGCTGAGAGAGCGGACGGCTCCGTCTACAGACTGAAAACTGAGAGCTCATGAGAAAACTAGAAGAAGAAATGTATCAAAGTCAATATTTTCAATGCAAAATAGGCTTCGGTGCGTAAGATTTCTTTGCCTCTATCCTGAAGGGCAGGAAACAGGAGGGGGGCAGGGACCGCACACAAAGGGAAGATGAGCTCTGTTCATCAGGAGTCATGTCTGCTATCAATCTTTTGTATTTGGGGCAGGATAGAAAAGACAGAATAACCTGACAAGTGTATTAACTGACAGGTGTAATTTCAACCGGACTTGAAAGGCTGAGAAAGACATGAAAGGAGGACAAAGGAGTGACTCCCCCCAAGATGAATGAGGCGGAAGATGACAATGAATATGTCATCCATTTAAAGGAATGCCAATTACTCAGCTCTAAGTATTTTCTTCTCCTCGTCCATTGTGCGACTAAAATGGATGATTTTCTGTGTCTTTACCATCCTTCACAACAATGATGAACCCTTCATGATGAATTCAGTAGGTGAAACTTGAGACTGTGTCAGTAAACTCTGGCTGAGTTTACAACAAAGATAGTAAAAGTTTACTGCCTCGTTTAGATTTTAAAGTACTTACCGTGTAGATTCACCAAAGGAATTTGTTGGTGAGTGCGTTAAAGCATGCAACATAGAATGACCTGAATGTCTAAAATAACAATAATGTGTAAACATAAAAATATAATGGGGGAAAAAATGGAAAACACTTGCTGGACGAGGGCTGCTTTGCATTAGAGTGCAGTAAAAAACGTGCAGGGATGAGGAGATGGAATGTGTTAAGAGCGACTGATCCTCGGGTTTGAGGAGCGTGGCTGATAGGAGCTGGAGTCATGTGTGACAAAAGGCCTTCAGAGAGCCCGCGGTTAACAGTGTGAACGATACCGTATGACGCTGGGTGGTCTTATTATTGGACCTTATGGAAGATTAGCGGGCGTAATGTGACACTTTCATGAAGAGGATTTCAGGTGCAAGACAGATAAGAGGGGGGGAATCCAAACTGCATACATTCAACGTCCTCATACTGACTTTAGTTAGC